ATAAGGAATCCTGCCTGGCAAAAATCACAGTTCAGGTTTTCAATTATGATCCCAAAGGTGCTTTTAAGCAAGAAAACCAGTCTCTGTGGATACAGTGGAGCTGTCCAGTGGCCAACAGCAGATCATAATGGCGACACAAGATAACTCCTCGCTGAAAATTGGTTTGTGTTATTTGCCATATATGCAACAGTGTTGGATGGTTGTTCAGTCAAAAACCCAACAATATTAAGGGTGGCTGTGGCTCAGGAGGTACAGTGGTCAAACCCAAACTTAAGGTCGGCAGTTTGATTCCCGTTCTCCCCAGTCCACATGTCGAAGTGTCCTTGGGCAAGACACTGAACCCCAAGTTGCTCCTGATGATGTTTTCACTATGTAAGTCTATTTCAAACTTCTGAGTTGGAATCAGTCAGGTACACAAAGTCAGTAACGTTTTTTTTTATTGAACTAATTAAACTAATCAATTACAATACTGTATGTTATGTGCCTGTGTTTATCCTACACCGCAGTAAAGTTAACCACAATAGGGAAGCTTTAATCAGCCTGAACTAAACCAAACCTCACAAATAACATTTTAATTAGTGGCCTGCACACTGACAGTACCCATTAACCCTGACTGTTCCTAACCGTTTCCAACTGTCATGGTATTGAGTTAACAAGCAGCCACTCTCTCCGCCTCTGTCTCTCAGCAGTGTGACTCACTGTCCCACTATAGTCCTGTGTCTGACTTCCTCTAACTGGCTGCACTTTATTACCCCCATGGAGCATAATATATGCTTATTTGTTACCAATTAACTCAAAGTCTGATGTGTGGCCCCACTGCATTCATAACTAAAATTCAGTGAACTGCAGCAGAGCAACATTAAACCCAGAGGCAACATGTTTAAAAATTATGCAGAGTCAAGTGCCCTGCCAGGAGGGCTTTCAATCTGGTTTTATGCTTTCTGTTTTTGTGTGCCAAACCAATATCAAAACAACAATGGCTTTTTTCCATTATGTTTTTTTATTCACAGTCAAAAACCTGAATGAAACCTACTTACTGTAGACAAAAGAAGAGAAAAATGAGATATACGCACTATGATGGATTTATATCGTACATGTTTTGCTCCTCTATAAATCATCTTGCAACAGTTGGCCTGCTGAGACTCATGCACTAATAAAATTTAAATTGATTATATGGACTACCCACAGAAAAAAAGAAATCACCTGTCAAACAAAATTAGAAAAAGGCAGCAATCGATATGGATTAATATCTACTCTGAGTGGTCAGTGTCTTTCAGTAATACTCCATCTTGTTAATTCCCTCAGAAGGATAAAAGCAATATATAATAAACTCATTGATATTAGAAATAAACCAATCAGTTAAAATGGGAAATTACAAGAATCTAACTGAAATTGAAACAGTATTGTCTGTGTTTATCATTTTGTTTTTCCTCTCTGTCAGTAATTGATTAACAGCTTCAGGTATAAAAATTATCCCAACTCCCTAAGGCTGTTTGATCTCTGCTGTCCTCCACAGATGGTCAAATAAGGGTTGGACAAATTACATGATCCCTATGATTTATGAGAACAATAACTCTGTCTACAAAGCAACAACACAGGCAAGGGAATTATTAGAGGCCCGGGTTTTCACAAGCAACCAAGATTAATAAGTGTCACTGTCTAAATGCCACAGTTAATAACAGAATAAATTATTTCTGGAGGCAAAGCTGCTGAGCATAACCAACTCAGCACTGGGTGACAGAACAGGTAGTACAAAAACACATGGAAGATGATTTATAGATCCCATAAAACAGGAGGGCAAGTAGAACAATCTGGGTGTTACCTTGCTGGAGTAAGGTCCAGGGATGAGCAGTTTCAGTGCTTGTCTTTTCAGCTCCGTCAGCCTTGCACTGCAGTTCTCACACCATATCCCTCTTTCACTACCAGGGGAACTTCCACTGCCTGAAGCTGGTGATCCAGTACCAAAACCTGGGGAGCCACCTAGAGAACCAGGCGATCCTGTCCCAATCCCGGGAGAGATGGTCCCCGGTGATCCAGAGAAGGACCCTGGTGAGGAGATTCCCGAGCCTGGGGAAGGAGTGCCTGTAGAGCTTGGCATGGAGCCAGCACCCTCTGGGGCAGGGCGCGTGCTGGACCGGGTGGTTTCCTCATAGGTTTTTCGGTACCATGTGTCGGGGGAAAAGGAGGCAGATTTGGTTGGTGACGTGTCGGGCATCTGCAAAAAAGGAATTATTTATAGGTTTTGCAGTTACAGATCTTGTACTTGTGTGTGTTGGCTCACTATTCTTTTTGCATTTTCCTGTAAAAGTGATTTTATGTTCACTAATAATTCTTTCTGAACTATTGGTGCCTAACCTTGTAGGGTAAATATACAGCAGACAGTCACAGTATCATGCCACTGACACACACAGGCAGCCAATGGGTAGACAAATAGTCTAAACTTCCATTAGGACACAAAATCAGTTTAGATAAACCCCCACAAACAGGAAACCATGTGAAACATTTGCTGTGATGGGCAGTCAACATACTGGATGCTTCCATTAACAGATAAACAGGGTCAAGTCTGAGTCCATGCGTAGACCTGTCCTGTGTTATTTTTCCTGACTCAGACATGGGAACTTCAAATGAGCCACAAGAGGTGAAAATTATATATTTTGCAGCTGGATAAATCCAGTCAGAGAGGAGAGAGCCACTGATGTGGTGGCAGTTGGAGAGGTTGTGTACTACAGCAGTCCCTCACAAGGGCTATAATAAGGTAGTAATGGGTAGGCTGATAGGTGTGTGCTCAGCCCTCGAAGTGAAGACAACCTGAGCCAACAGCTGTATTATAAAGTAATGCTAATTGGATGTAGGTGGTGTGCAGTGATACAGGTGTGCATGTAATACCTGATTTAGTGATAATTAGGAGATGGTGGAGAGATGTGTCAGTGAAAATGCACGCCACAGCTCTTGTGACACTACGAGCAGTGATGTTGGAAACCTCATCTTCTCAAAGCAATCAGTTAGCAGCATGAACACAAACCTAATGAGAGCTTGCACCAGTTTCAGATTTAGCCAGAAAAATGTGAGCAAACTACAGTTTACTATTAAAATGGGTAGAATGAAATGAAGTGCATGGAGGACTGAATGGATGATAAGTTTTTTGTTTAGCAAGCTTATGTGTCCAAGCCTTGGTTACTGGAATACATAACCTACCCCAAATTTTCTGCTCCTGCTGCTCACAGACCTCTCCTTGGTCCCCGACAGTGAAGTCATGTTGAAGGTAAGAGGAGGGGGAGGAGGAGAGGAGAGGAGATAAAACCTCTGCTGCTGTTTCACATTCAAAAGAGAGACCGCTGGATCGATTTCAATTAACTACACGTCCCTGCAGTTTGCTCTTCTCAGTCTGGAGTAAACCTCACACCACTTCTAGACGCATGTGGAAACCGGTTACATCCCCTTCACTCGTCAAAAACAACAAATCCTGAATGGGTTTGTTTCGTTTTTCCACGAGTTTTTTCTTGCAGATAAAGCGCTCGAAACACTTCTAAAAACCCGACTGAGAATTCACACAGGTCGTGCGTGCAGACCGCTCCCCGTCAGCACAGCGTGCTCTGCGCTGAATGCGGCTCTGTGCTCCGTGCTCCGTGCTCCGGACTGGCATCGCACTGAGCCCTGTCTCTCTCCGTCAGCCCTGCCGCTGAGGCTGCCTGCAGGTGAACAAAAAACTCACCGGGAAAATTCCGAAGCGCGACTCAAGCCTTATTCACTAGGTGGAGTAGGATTTGGCAGGTGTAGACGCAGCTACGGGAGCCAGTTTCTCCTTGTTTGCTGTCCGTACCTTATTGACTTCTCGAGCTTCCACACTCTGCTGAAGCCAACAGTGGACTGAAGAGCCAGGAGAGAGGCGCACATCTGGATGAGGGCGGGGCTTCCCTGCTCCTCACCAACCAGCGGTTCCAGCTGTTGCTATTGGGATGACATGATTCTATGTTTAACTTAAAGACACTTCCAGTCAGGTTCAAAACCAGTAGTTAGAGCTTTATCTCAATATATAATCACATTTGCCGGAAATATAGCCAGTAAACTGAATACCTGCATACAGTTAGAAAAACCCAACCAGTTAAATCAGTTTAGAGACTTTAGTTGGTGTTCACTTTAGTGGGTGCGTTGATGAGCACTTGGACTCGTGACCTCAGACCTTCTAAAATTCTGGCTGCTCTGGGCACTTCTTTATTGAATCAGACTACTGATAAGGTAAAATACCTTGGAACTGACTGGGTGGAAGGTGAAGAAAAGCAGCAAGTCATAGTCTCTGTCAGTCATAATCTCAGCTGGCTGGCATTTCATCTGAATGAACAGTATGTGATATATCAAGTCAAAGAAAGCTAGCAAGAAAGCTACAGTGTAAGGGAATAAGATCCAAACATTGAATGAGTGTAAAAATTAATACAAGAGCTGTTAATATTTCTGCATTAACTTCTAAAGTCGTCTTGTATGGGAAGACGCATCCCTTGAAGTCACTTGAGTGTTTTCAGAACCATTGTATTAAGATAAAGAGCATGGTCACGCAGTGCCCTCTGCTGCGGTCATAAAGTTATTGCTGGAGACAGGCTGATAGCAATGGTAATGGTCCCATCCATCCAGCAATCAATCCATTATTTATACTGTTTATCCTGAAGAAAGTGGAGGGATAGGGGCTGACACTGGGCAAGAGGTGGGGTACGCCCTGGACAGGTCGCCAGTCTATTACAGGGCTGACAGACAAATCACACTTCAGTTACTAAACAGATTCCAATGAGTAGATCAGAAATGACAACTCTTAGTAAACTTTGGCAAGTGCAGTGGGACTGTGGCGAAACTGGTAGACATTTTATATAAGCTTTGGACAAAAGTGGACAGTAAACAGACATGGCTCAAGGAGAGAAGAAGCTGTGATTACTTGCCTGAGGATAAGGAATTGCACTTTGAACCATACTTTGTGTAAAATAGGAAAACACCTTTCAGGCTGCTGTGACTACTATGGCGAGGAACAGACAGTTGAACATATTTTGTTTATTTGTAATGTGTAAAGTTCAAAGTGTTTATTTGTCATATGCACAGTTAGGAAACATGTTTCCCTGTACAATGAAATTCTTACTTTGCCGTCCACCTGAATACCACAAAATACAAATGAAATATAAAGTAGATAAATAAATAACACAAAATCTAAGGCACTTTAAGCAGCGCAGATGCAGCAATATAGTAGAAAAAAATATATACAAGAATATAACAGAATGTATGCTGCATGGGAGCAGCATGTGCAGCAGTCAACAGTCAATGTACAATTATACATGTGCAAACTGAGAATGTAAACAGTACATCACGTATTTCCTGGTAATAAACTCCTCAGCTGTTTAGGAGTCTGATGGCAGAGGGAAAGAAAGAGTTTTTCAGTCTAGTGGTCTTACATTTCACACTTCTGAACCTCCAGCCAGAGGGCAAAGAACAGTCTGTGCTGGGGGTGGGTGGGATCTTTGAGGATGGAGGCAGCCTTCCTACGCACACTGTGGTGGTAAATGCTCTGCAGAGTGTAATGTGAATATCGTGAAGGTATGATGGTATCATTGGGGAAAATGAAGATTTTGTGTATGTCAATGGACAGTGTATTGGGCAGTAATTGTCATAAGGTTTATAGGATAGTCATTGCATATTTGACAGAAATAGTATGATCTGGGGGCGGCTGTGGCAGGGACAGCGCTCCCATTGGTGTGTGTGTGTGTGAGTTAGCGCTGCAATGGCTGCCTCGGTTCTGTATCGGAGACAAATTCCTTGTCTGTAACATACTTGGCCAATAAAAATGATTATCATTATTATCATCATCATTGCTGAGTCATCCTCCACTTCGATAGGTGGCGGTAATGCATCTTAAGGAGGCGTGCAACCCACCAATAAATCGCAGAGGAAGAAGAAGAAAACCAAAAACTGCGACGATTGCACAGTAGGTTGTGGTTGTTTATGACGCGCGTGTGTACGGGCAGCGAGGCACTAGTAGAAATGTTTGATTCCTTGGATTGTGTGTACAAGGTATTAGTTTCATTACAACATATATATTTAACACATATTCTCGTAATTCGGAGCAATTTTACTAGTGCGCGAGAAGTAGCTTTCTTTAGCAGTGCATATGTGCAGGCGATCATGCCCCAAGTTTATACTTAGCTGAAGTAAAGCTGGCAGCTAATTTAGGCTAACTATCCAAAGAGAAGGCTGTTCAGGCTTAAAGGTGAGTGGCTAGTTTTCACGTTATATCTGTTGCTATTTCGTTAAGTCTAAGGTTAAAGTTTGTCGGTCACTTTCACGGATTCATAGCGTGCATGCGCCAGGTTTTGCTTCAGACTTTACGTTAGCTAACTAATATTAACTGAATGTTTAGTTGTTCCTGATGTTAGCTAGTTGCATACGATAGCGTTAGAGGCTGTGCAGATAAGTGACACATATGTTGCATTAAAAGCGTGTACGCTGTTAAGTTTGTCACACAATATGTGTTAATAAGCGGTTGCTGCTTTTATTGCTCGGGATTTTGTGGTTGCGATTGTTTCCTAGAATATGTTGACACATTTTCAACGGTATCACCGTCCAGGTTGTTTGTTAGCAACCCGTTAGCGTTATCTGCCTTTTCTAACTACCGTCTTAAGTTGTGAGCTGTTTGAATGCATTGCATGAACGTTTAAACGTGACATTATAGCGTTTAGCTTGGTGTTTGCCCACGTGTGATCTTTGTACTGCTAAATACCTTAATGTGTATCGTCGTGTGTGTTGAAATAACGAGTTGAAGGGGCGTGTTGTTGTAAATGTGAGGTTATCTTGGACACACACAAGTTAGTTTTTAACATCCTAGCCTAACAACATTACTGAGATGGATTTAATCCCGTTTCCGTGGCGACAGGTGCTCCCATTAATCTACCTGGCGTTAGCACTCGCAGCTAATGTAGGTAGTGGGTGTGAACATGTTGATCACGTTTCCCTACCTTTCCCTCTCCCTGTACTGTCACACAGCTGCCCACTCACTTCCTGTCAGTGCAGCACTAGAGACTCAAGTTCCCCAGGTGAAAGAAACCTGTCCTGATAAATGTCACAAGTTGATACCCGAGGATAGTCTGATTCCCCGAACTCAAGTGACATCATTCCAGTGAGAGGACTACACCGAATTATAGGACAATGAAAGGTAATTCAATATGCAATCTTATTTTAGTTTTTGAATTTTGTAAGCCATTAATAAGCTTTTGGGATTCTTTAAAACACCCAACAAGCATCTCCAAATGATAGTAGAAACATAACTGGATGATCTTTCAGGTGGATCTCGGAAAAAAAGAAGAAGTGAACCTAAAAAGAGACAAACTAAAGTTGCTTCAAACACCGATTCGTCTCCAGCTACAGAGGAATCAAACTATGGGCCAGGTGGTGATTTAGCCATCGACAGCAAGTCCACAACATGTTCCTTACCAAGTACTCCAAAAAGAGGCAGGAGACAAACGGGATGGAGACAAGAAGCCTACCGGACCTCCACACCAGTACATAGGTCATCCACTGTCAACTTGGTGAATACAGAGTCTCCTGAAGCAAAACAAGCTGACCTAGAATACACCAAAATCTCTACTCAATTAAAGGTGCTTGATCACATCTTCACTAATAGATGCAGTGAGGAACAGAAGTATTTGAACACCCTGCAGTTTTGCAAGTTCTCCCACTTAGAAATCATGGAGGGGTCTGAAATTCACATTGTAGGTGCATTCCCACTCTGAGACAGAATTTAAAAAAAATTTTCAGGAAATCACATTGTATGATTTTTAAAGAATTTATTTGTCTTGCACTGCTGAACATAAGTATTTGAACACCTGAGAAAATCAGTGTTAATATTTGGTACAGAAACCTTTGTTTGCAATTACAGAGGTCAAACGTTTCCTGTAGTTCTTGACCAGGTTTGCACACACTGCAACAGGGATTTTGGCCCACTCCTCCACACAGATCTCCTCTAGATCTGTCAGGTTTCGGGGCTGTCGCTGAGCAACGCAGAGTTTAAGCTCCCTCCAAAGATGTTCTATTGGATTGAG